TTACTTGAAGATGGTGAAGTACTTGCTTGCTGACAAGATGGCATCACTGTTACTGCTGAAGGAAATGACTTTCCTATTGTATTACAATATAAATAGGTTAAGTGTATTTATAAAACTCTTCATTTACCATATTCCATTATTATATCACTAGCTAAAGACACTGCTTCCTTTGATTTCATTAGAATGCTTGTCAGAGTACATAACTTGCTATGATCTTTAGCTACAGCACTTAATATTAGTAACATTGGATCTCCTACCAATGAACAACCGCAACTCTTCACTTCTGTTAATGTATCCTTAGATATCAATCCCTCTGTATGTAAGAGATCAACTGATTCTTCAGTTAGAACAACTTGAGCTAGTCTACCAATATAACACTGTAATAACTCGCTAACAGGATCTGCCACTAATAAAAATATAAACAAAGTATAGTGCCTGGATGATAACATTATTACTTGTTTTGCGAATATTATTAGAAACAGATAACACATTCATTTCTCGTAGTGCATTAGCCAGTGTCTGCCATACAAGAGTACGATCAGAGCCTTCAGTCAACCACTTGGCTAAACACTCCCTCAGGCAATTTGAAGGATCTCCTTTATTAGCTGACTCAATAGCTTTCAGTGTGTGATAAGGTATATCTAAATTCAATCCAAATTCAAACCATCTTGCTTCAGGAAACTTGTAATGCCTCAAGACTTGTAAAACAAACTTTAACTTGCTAATATCTGTACACAAAATTTGTATATCAGTGTATTATAAATAATCTGACTCACCTAATGGGAAATATGATGGTTTTGAAGCCATTTGAAACTAGTTTAAGCCATAGGCGGTTCCAGGATTGTGGAAGCAGGTGGGCAAGGGGGGGATAATATGGCGCGGGAAGCGCGCCGCGATTTTGACCACGCCCACTTTTTCCCCGCTGCGCGGAACTACATTTTCCCGTAATATTAGGGGCCTCGCAATATTTAATTTTTCAACCATTGTCATCCTCTGTGCATGTGCCGTGAGTGTGACTTCGTGATTGACTATGAGACTTTAGTCTCGCTAGCCAGACCATTCCCCAGGCTACAGCCATGAGCCATTTCCGTCCACCCCAATGACTGTAGGCTGGGGAATGGTCTGGCTAATGGTCTGGCTAGCGAGACTAATCAGACTCAGCCTATCACTAGAAGTATCACAAGGAAGATCATAATCATTAGTCTCTAACTCTGTGAAATCAACTGACACTAGATCTGGCTCATCTATAGAAATTTCAGGTAGTAAATTTTGTGTGCAGCTGCCATTAACACAACTGATGATTTATGACAAGCAGTACTTGCTTATTTATAGATCTATACATGTTAGCTATTAACCTTACTTCTTTCATCATCATTGGTATTTCTTTTTTTTTGGTTTAGGAGGCAAGAAAGAAAGGAGAGATGCTTGACGCTTGGTTGCCATTGCAAGAAATGATTACAAAATTAACATTCAAAATATTCATGAAAAGTTAATTTTAATAACAATAATAATTAATTTTAATGATTATTATGACTTCCTTTTCCTGTCAAAACTTTAGGGTGGGCATTGCCCCTTAATGCCCACCCCTGGAACCGCCTATGTTTGTTGCCCTTCCTTTTTTGCTGTACAATCAGTTAACTTCTTTTCTCAATCGTTCTGATGTACATGAAGATCTTGGAGTTGGTACACACCAATGGCAAATGTGTAGTGAACTGGTTGAAAAGAATGTAAGAAAATAATATTAATGTTCATGAAATTGATTTTATTGTCATTATCACTGCTTTTCCTTAGCTCATTAATGATGAAGTTTTGAGCTTCAAGTCTGCCCTTTCAATGGTTTTACAAGAAAAGAAAAGAGGTGAATATATAAGTGTGCATGTAATGATTGATACAGTAACTTATTATGTGCTTAATGTAGTGTTGATATACAGTGGGAAATGGGACTATGTCTGCAATTACTTTGGAGGAAGAGCATGGGCTAAACTAGTGGAATGGGAAGGACAGGTAAAGAAGGAAAAA